TCAAAGGACATTTAATCAACTACCAAACTCACAAATGTTGTATTTTGTCTGTTTGTTTGCTTTGTTCTGTTAGAAATGTAATATAATTGACTGGTTGATCTGACATGACAAATAATAAATAAATTTGGAATTACGGGGTAGTAGTGAGGTTCCCTACCCTACTCTGCCCTACGTTAAAAACACATTTCAGAGAGGTGGTCCACACAGAGGGTTTCCCTGACCTTCAAAGATACCCAGCTCTTATTTAAATGGTAATGGGTCAGGACAATCTAGTTCTAAATCATCTCTCTATCATGGCTGATGAGAACAAGAAGATCACATTGTCTTTGCCTACTGGTGATCCTGATACTGTGGGTTACTAGAAGTCCCACTTTCAACTCCCTTTTGATGCTACCAACTCAATTCTCTGGAACTATGCAATTTGTACTATCATAGCATTCTTAAGGCTCTAGAAGCCAAACTCAGTATATTAAATTGTGCCCAGAACTGGAGTTTTTGCCACAAACAGGTTGTGTTTTTCCTGTAGCCAGAATGTCTGAACACTTACAGAGGTCAACATTATTATAACTATTGTGAAAATCGTAATGCATGTTATAAAATATTGTTATTATAGGTTTCATCAGAGGACAAGGAGAAGATGAAAAATCATAGAACCTGACACGAACAATTTTCTGTATATTAAAAGAGACACTCTTTGCATACATGTGGGCGATCATACTCCTGGTATTAAGCTCTAGAGACACTTGCAGTGCATTTAAAAGGAACTGTGCAATGCAGCATGTTCCAATAATTAAAATGTGTATTTACTTGGGAAAGTATCCTCTTAAATTGTGTGAGTGCTTGATTTAGTTGTAGATCGATTTAATGTAACCTGCAATGCTCTTTCTACTCCCTAAGGAGCAAGCACCACTTAAAGCAAAGGAACTTACAATACATTTAAGATGAACACTTAAAAGCATCACATTTTGATATACATATACAAGGTCAACCAATTAATATATTTTATCTATGTGCAAAAGGCACAAAAAACCAAAAGAAAATCTAATTCAAATTATTTAACTCTATGAGCTAAGACAACCTCATCTTTAGGGATATCAACCCCCAGTCATATTACTGATCCGAGCACCTTAGATCTTATTGCAGCAAAATATGAATATTCTCATTTAAACTAGACCTGTATATGATTTTAGTTGGTTATCTGTCAAATTACATAGTTAAATATCATTTGTAAGTGACCTTACCCCTGAACCCCTGAGAAGAGTAATAACTATTGATGGGAACTGGTTTGTTATTCATCATATGATTACGCTGAATGAAAAACACAGAAGACTGGTAGAGATGGAACCCTAGGGAAAATGCTATCAGGAAAAAGTTTCCATCGGTTGAGATGTGAATACTTATTCCACTGTCATGTTCTATAAGCAGATTTTCAGATTCTCGTACTGTTTCTAAAACGGTAACGTCTGTTTGATCAGAAAAGGGAGACAAGCAAACAGATTGTGTATGTACATTGCAGGAAGCAACACACTTTCATCTCTCTCAAAGCTATTGTCTGTCTCCAGCTTAAGAAAATCTGCAAGACTTGGTTCTCAGGAAGTCTTAAAAGATTTACGGAAAAGTATACAAATGCTACAGATCGAATTACCTTTTTTCCTAGCAGCAAAATGTTTTATCAGTTTGTAGAAAAGAAACATTCAGAGCCGGGGGGGGGGGGACTGAGCCATCTAGTTACCATTGAGAAAATGAGCCTCTTGAAAGATAAATTTGACTGGGGAGAGGGGAAGAATAAAATTTAAACAGCTGAAAATGCTAACACATAAGACTTCATTATTCTTGGCACCATCTCTTTCCCCATTTTATTTTGTTTTTCCAATATGTTCTTCCCCACTGTATTGACATGCATAGTTGTAAAATTAACTGCAGTTGTGCTTCAACAAGCTTAACGTTGACAGCAGGCATAACGTGTTTCTTTTTGCAAAATTCTTTTCATGTGCTTCCATGACCCGGAAAGCCATTTCCTGTCTAGTACTACACAGAGCAGATATTCATATTTTTCCATTCTTGTGTGAAAATAAAGCTGAGGAACCTGAGACGTCAAGCGAGCTGAACGCTTCATAAAATGATGATCATTTGCACTGTTTGCTTTTATGCTTATTTTTATTTTATTTTAAAGTCATGTGAGAGGTAGTACAAAATTACCCAAATAAATAATTATGTTAATTGCTGTTAGCTAATTAACATAAATGCATGTTACACAAACACAAATTTTATTTGATATATAAACATGTACATATATTGCACAGAAATGGGGAGATGGAAGAAAAAAAACTTCTTTTTATATAGGACGTCTATGTATTTAGATTTATCTATTGACCTAGCTAGCTAGTTTTAAGCAACTAGCATCTGGACACTTTAGTTCACAGCACCACAACCTTTCTGTGTTTGGTACTGTGGTGCTATCTCTTTCAAGTACATGAGATATAAAGAGGGATTCCTGGATCAACACACTTAAAACCTTAGCAGAGCATGGGCTTGACCTAGCAAATACACAATACATACATTATTGTCCCCTTAAGAATGCTGATGACAGAGCTTTCTAAGTTGGCACATTGGATACAGCTTATTTTCATTTCAAGCACCATATGAAGACAAAACCTATCAATATATTTATAAAATACTGTTGGTTAATCATATCAATAAATAAACAGGTGTCCTCGAGAGCCAGTGTGGAGTAGTGGATAGACAGTTGGACTCAAACTTGAGAGAGCCAAGTTGCTGAGTGATTTTGGATCATTTGCACTTTCAGTCTGGCCTATCTTAGGGTTCTAGTAAAAAGTGTAGTCAAAAATAAAATACACTGTATTCAGCTCAGTGTAGTAAATAAAAATACTTCCAGTATTCTGAGTGTCTTTAGGAAAGCAGAACAGAATCATTTATAAGTATCAAGATGCTTTCAGGACCCCAAAAATTTGCAGAATTACAAAATTAATGTTAGGAAAACCAAACAAACTACCAAGTAACCCAATGAGGACTGAATTTTCTCAGTCACCCAGAAACAGTGGGAGAGGGAAGAAAAACTGAAAGAATTAGGGTGGAGCAGCTGTAAAAGATACTAAAGTAGCACAAAGCTTCTCTATTGCTGAGGGTTGGTATTGAAGGAGTTCTGTTGATGAAGAGTTGCTGTTGGAGAGAAAGTTGCAAATATACAGAAGACTTGGAGAACAAGGCAAGTGAGAGTCTTTTGCCAGTAAGAAGGTTTCAACTACCTGGGAGTGTCTGGAAGAACTCGAGAAGAGTCCCGGTCTTCTACTATACTGTAAATATTCCTTGTATAAAGTCTCATCTACTATAAAGACAAGTTGTGTGGGTATTCTCCTTAATCGGAGGGGGAGTGTTTCTGGAAAAAAGGGGGTTTGTTTCTGTTACTTCATACAGAACGCTATTAATTTCAACGTGACATAGTATGTGTATGGGAGAAAGAGATTCCCAGCAGCCCTGATTTATATTTTCTGATTGGATCCAGTCTACCAAATGTTCTTCACATCCCTCACCAAGTTGCTACATTATCAAAGAAGGGGAGATGCACAGTGCCTATTTGGGACAATAGCTGTACATTAATCATAACATGTGGTTTGGCCTACAGGCAATCTCAGCCCTTTAATGAGTGCACAGGAATAAAACTTTTGTTTGTACACCTGAAATAGGTAATGTAGAAATGCAGAGAACAGATGTTTTCAATTAAAGTCTCTTTGCTATACATGTGACACATACAATAAGCAGAGCACTCTTCAGATACATCAAAAATGTTAAATCTCTTCAAAAAGTTAACCTGGGGGAAAGTACATGTTCGTTAAACATATGGTTACGGAATATAAATGAAAGTGGCAAAGCAAGCAGAAATAACTGTGGAACAGGACTGAGAGAAGTAACAAGATCCCATGAGGACGTTTCTGTAATATTTGTATGCTAATAGAGAAAACTTAAAACATAGAAAACAATGTATTTCAAAAGCCTCCAGAAAAACAAGGTGTTGATAATACATTCTGCTTTATAATTAAGGCATTTAGGTAACAAGATCCTTATATTTGTTTGAGATCTAAAAATTGTCTGTACTAAGACAACAGAATAATGTGAAAATAAATTCTAAGGCTCACCTTTTCACCCAGTACATAACTGATCACAATTCATTTTAATTGACACCAAGTGTGTTTTCTGGAGAAATTTAACATGCTTTAGGGAAGAGATACCATTTACAGATAACGCTTATAATTAGACATCGTTAGATGCCATATAATGATTTCAAACGTATCTTATAACATTTTCTAGTTTTTTGTGCATGTGTTCTGCATGATGACTGGGATAGCAGTGGCATATACAATTATTTTATGTTATTCAAGAAAGGAAACCAGTTATTAAAGTCAGAATAAATTATAGACTTTATGCTACGTGAGCTTCTTAAAATTATGTTTTCTCTTCTTGTTTGATTCTTTCCTCATTATTGTTCTCATCAATCGTTCAATTGGAAAACCCATTTATTCTACTTCTTGCAATTTTACAAATCCTCGACTGCTTAGATGGTTTAATGTAAGGAAATATGGCACCTAGCAAAAGAGTAATGCTACTTGCTCTACCACAAAAAAGGACTGCTGATGAAACTATAGCCTCAACCACTTCATAAAGTTTGTCATTTTTGTTTATGTTCTAACAATACAGCACTATGCCTTTAGACACCCCTGTTCCATATCAGCGGCTGCTGGTTGTAAAGCGTCAGAGGAAAGATAACAGGACACGAGGTGTGTAGCGCCATGCACTACTGAGAATGAGGGATGAACATCAGGTTGCTACCATAAGTTTAAGTTGCAGCTTGGTGTTTCTGATAATATACTGTTCTTCCCTAAGCCAAAGAACCAGAATCCTGAATTCCTAGTAGTTAAATCAGGATTGCACTAAACAGAAAGATTATAAACCATTTTGCTCCTGAGGTGGCATAATAAACGCACCTTTCTTTTCTTGGTAAACTTCTTTGAGGAGTTGCTCCTGCTTTTCTATCTGACCAATGAGATTTCGGTGCACTGTCTCTTTGCTCAAGGTCACTTGCTTCAACTGGTCTCGGCTCTGCAGCAACTGACGCCGGAGTTTCTTTTCCTTGCTCTCTCGCTCCTTCACTTCTTCACATAACCATCGGAGTTTAGTCTAAAAGAAAAGAATAGACATTAGCATAATGCTTGCAGTGAAAACCATTATCATAATGTTTCTCAACAACAACTTAACAGGAAACAGGAACCGTTTGCTGAATAAAAAATGAGGCAGGTTGTATTTACTGGACTGAAATATTTATATCTTACTCTATATAACAAGATCACAAATGGTGGTGTACAATAAAATTAGTTTAACTTATTTAAAAAATATAAAACAGTAAACAATAATTTGATTAGAATAAAACATTAAACAGTTCGACGAGTCAAAACAGAATACAGTAGTTAAAATAGTTTCAAGAAGTTGGAAATTAAAACACTTGTGCAGATTTCGATAAAATCTGTTAGGCCCCCAAGACTCCTGCATTTTTAAGAGGTAACAGAATGCCAACAGAACTAATGCCAATCAGACCTCTATCTATATCAATACTCTCTCTGCCATCCTCTTTCTCATACATACATACATACATACATACATACATACATACATAAACTTTACCAGTTGATCCATATATTCCCACGAAAAGAAAGACTAGCAATATGAAACCAAGTGAAATTCACCAAAACAAGTGCTGCCAGATTCTACCAATTACTATTTCCTATCAGGCTCCAAAGCTATGAATAAATTTTTACGTATTACATTAAATATGTGTGAGAATTTGTAAACTTAGTAATCTGTTCTTATTTTTCTTGCTTTCATTTCTATCGGGTTCTATTTCTTCTCTTTCTCATTATTTTCAATTGTCCTCTGTGTGAAGAAGACCACTGTGTACAGATAAATTCTGCATTTGACAATCCTCCTGCCCTATGTCCATTCCTATAAAAGGGAGTGCAATCACCAGTTTAAGATATTTGTACCTTGCTTTTCCAAAGCTCAAGTCCTATTAGGTAAATTATTAACATTTTATTAACATTCAAACTTAATAAAAATCTACAAAATGATTAAAAGAATAAACAAGCCCATAAACAAAGAAGAAGACAGGCAAAAATAACAGCAACATCTTTTTGGAATCATTAAGTTTCATGTCTTTTATGAAAACTGGAGAAAGAACAGTAGCTTGAATCCCATCATAGAGAACCGGCAATCTATAACTGGATATTGGCTTCAAAATATGTCAGAAAATAAGGCCACTATCAAAAGAAAATGTTTCCTACAAAAGACACATACATCTCCAAATTTCCAAAAGCTGTTTCAAAATATCTCAAGTGGAATCCAGAAGTGCCATTCTGTATATAGAAGACAATATTCCATTTACAGAAGTGATGTTTCTAGATCTCATATTCATACTAGAACCCCACATTCCATTTTTAAGACATTCCGAAAATTCTGCAAACCGAAAGTGGACTTCTTGCTCACTGTTTCATTCTGGCGATGTCTTTAATTGGTTTAGTTCAACATAGATCCTCTATGTGCTGTCATATTTGCTTGTCAATGAAGAAATAACTGGGGTAGATATTACACCCACACCAAAATTCAGTTAAAAACTTAGGGCCCTTCCAGACAGGCCCTATATCCCAGGATCTGATCCCAGGTTTTCTGTTTATCCCAGATTATTTGGCAATGCAGACTCATATAATCCACTTTAAAGCAGAAAACCTGGGATCAGATCCTGGGATATAGGGCCTGTCTGGAATGGCCATAAGTTGATAAGAAGTTTGGGGCTCAAATGTAGGTGAAACATTAAGAAGGAAAGACATCATTTCATTATGTGTCATAAGAAAGTTATACTGAAGACACACTTTGATGCCATAACACAGTATTTTAGAATTTATATAGCAGAGCTAGAAATGATGCACCCAACAGCTACTTGGGAGCTTTGGTGGTCCCTTGCAGTCTTTGCCTCTCTTCCTTGCCCCATTTGGTCAAATTTTTGGTCAAAAATTCAATCTAGGGTGTATAGCTTTCTTAATCCTGACTCAGAAACAGGAGAAAAGAGCTTCCAAAATCACCTAAATATCACTTCCAAATGGGCAACAACAAATGGGCCATTCCAGACAGGTAGTGTCTGAGGATGTGACATGAGCATCTGCTTGTCCGGTTTTAATGGATTCATTTCAATTGGTTCAGCTCGAGGACGTGGACAAGATCCTTGGAGAGGCGAGGCCTACCACATGCATCCTAGACCCCTGCCCATCCTGGCTGATCAAAGAAGCCAGAGGGGGTTTGGCAGAGTGGGTTAAGGTGGTGGTTAATGCCTCCTTACAAGAGGGCAAGATTCCAGCCAGCCTAAAACAGGCTGTTATAAAACCGCTGTTGAAAAAAACATCACTGGACCCCACTCAATTACTCAACTATTGGCCAGTTTCCAATCTTCCCTACTTGGGCAAAGTCATGGAACGTGTGGTGGCTTCGCAACTCCAGGGGTTCTTGGTAGACACCAATTATCTAGATCCAGCACAGTCTGGCTTTAGGCTGGGACACGGTACTGAGACAGCCTTGGTCGCCTTAGTAGATGATCTATGCCGGGAACTAGACAGGGGGAATGTGTCCCTGTTGGTTCTGCTGGAACTCTCAGAGGCCTTCGATACTGTTGACCACGATATCCTTCTGGGACACTTCGCAGAAATGGGACTTGGGGGTACTGCTCTGCAGTGGCTCCAGTCCTTCCTGGAGGGTCAGTCTCAGAAGGTGTTACTGGGTGACACCTGTTCGACTCCACAACCGTTGTCTTGTGGAGCCCCTCAGGGTTCAGTACTGTCCCCGATGTTATTTAACATCTACAGTAAGCTGCTGGGGGAGATCATCCGGAGTTTCAGAGTAAGGTGTTATCTGTATGCAGATTACGTCCAAATCTGTCACTCCTTCCCACCTGTTACTAAGGAGGCTGTTCAGACTTTGAACCGGTGCTTGGCTGCTGTGTCAGACTGGATGAGGGCTAACAAATTGAAATTGAATCTGGACAAGACAGAGGTCCTCCTAGTCAGTCGAAAGGCCAAACAGAGCATAGGGTTACAGCCTGTGTTGGATAGGGTTACAATCCCCCTGAAGAGGTTCGCAGCTTGGGAGTGATCCTGGATTCATCACTGAGCCTGAAACTCCAGGTTTCAGCGGTGGCCAGTGGAGCTTTTGCACAGTTAAAGCTTGTGCACCAGCTGTGCCCGTACCTTCGGAAGTCTGATCTGGCCATGGTGGTCCACGCTCTGGTCACATCCCGAATAGATTACTGCAACGCACTCTACGTGGGGCTGCCTTTGAAGATGGTTGGGAAACTGCAGGACTAACTGCAGTTAGTCCAATGGGCAGCAGCTAGATTACTAACAGGAGCTACATACAGGGAGCATAGCACCCCACTGCTACTTCAGCTCCACTGGCTGCCTGTCCACTTCCAAGCTCAATTCAAAGTGCTGGTTTTGACCTATAAAGCTCTATACGGTTCTGGCCCAGCTTACTTGTCTGAACACACCTGCCTCTATGTTCCACCTCGTAACTTAAGATCATCCGGGGAGGCCCTGCTCTCGCTCCCACCAAAATCACAAATGCGGCTGGTGGGGACGAGAGACATTTCTGTATTTTAATGGTTTGATGGCTTGTTTAATGGTTATTGTATTAATTGTTCATGTAATGGCATCGAATTGCTGCCTATGTAAGCCGTCCTGAGTCCCCCTTTTAGGGTAGAGAAGAGACGGGATATAAATACCAGAAATAAATAAATAAACAAACAATGGCAGCAATATGTCCTCCTAGGATTCACAAAGGCTTGAAAATAACCTTCTAGTTCTCAGAGTGCCCACCCTTACTACACCCTTACTTGTATATACCATCACTGAAACCTTTTGGTAAGAAATTAACTGCATGAGGAAAATCTCTGCAGCTTCCTGACATCTGATGCCAAGAAATAGATGTAGAATTCAAAAAGATACTTGTACAATTCCATAAAGGGTTCCTCTTCATGCTCTGCTAATACTAGGTGGGCTTTTTAGGATTTCTGTCCTGTTCTTTATGAAAGGAGTTACATGGTGCCACGGGCAAACTTTTACAATCCTCCAAAAGGTTATAGTGTTCATGATAAAGGCAAAAAGACGTTGAGTTTGAAATGGTTCTAGTTCAGCCATTATGAATTAGAACACTGCATTTAGTCATGATGACTATCAAGATAACAAGAGGAGGGGGAAGCATGCTTCAATGGAGATGATCAGTAGCTATGAAGATTTGTTTACATTGCACTGGAATGACAGTAACATATGGTCCTATTACCAGGAGTTTTAAGTGTGTTTTAAAGAAGAAAAGGGGAAAGTCCATAAATATTTCACTGTGCTTAAATGATTTCAGCTGTTGAAATCATATTTTCAAATTGTTACCTTATGAAAGAATGCTTTTGTCTTATATTTCCTTGCTCAGTAATAAGTCCCATATATTTGAAGTTAGCAGCAACATTCAAGCATTAAAGTAGTGTTTGAAATAAGGAGCAAAGAAGCACATACTGTACTTCACTCCCTGCCCCAATTGACCTCCATACCAGCTTCGTTTCAAAGCTTCAAGCGAATGTACTCAGAGGCCTCTCTGCAATCAAGAGCTATGAAGAAAAGCAGATACCTGTGTTCACTTGAATAGCCCCGTAGAACTACTGCCTATTTTTGTAAGCACTGGAGCGGTTGGGTGCTGTATATTATTGTTCTTTAAACATAGAGCCTACACAGTCATACAAATTGGTACATTTCAAAGCATGGCTAAGCACAAGGAAATCAGGTTCCGACTTTGCAAGCACAAACATGCTGAGCTCGACCCCTATTTGAAAACCTACAGGGAAATGCCTACCCCCAGCTACCTGTGGAAGCTGGGGGTAGGCACCTAAGAGAGAGAGGTGAGGTTTAGGGAAGCTATTTAAGCAAGGCAGCTCCCATTCCATATCTCTCCAATCTTGGTGTTGTCTTACTCACCTCTGTGGCACTGCATGTCTGACTGTCATCTAGGGGCCAGGTATGAATTTTTCCACACTATGGGTTGGGGACTGGGAAATTAGCTTTGGGTGTGGTCTGTGATTAGTTTTTTTTTTTGTT